TTCAGGGACAATAGCTTTTAAATTCAAGGAATTCATCACTTTTTCCTCAGCATATAATTTTAGAGTTTCTCCTTTTCTTCATAACTTGTCTCATTTATCTATTTTTATGTATTTTTCTTTATTCTACTGTGCATTTAGCTCTGCTCCAATTCTATTTCATTTACTACTGTTTCAAAGTCATCTAGTAGAGATAACTTAAATCTGACAGTGTTTATTACTAAAGGAAAAACATAAATATAGTCCTAGAATATTCTAGAAAAGAAAATTATTCTTTCCAAGGGAGTTCTCAACAGTGTCTTTTACCTGTAGTTTCCACTTTATTTCTCAGTTGGAACTGACTTGCTGGGCATTCTGTGCCAGGGGCAGAGTAAGTCACCTCTCTTTTTCTCCCCCATCCCATTATTTTTCAATTATTGACTGTTTTTAGAGGAAAATTGTAGGACATTCATCATTTGAAACCAGAGGAATAAGTAGGAGTGCCAGAAAGTCTCTAGTTTAAAGAAAAATTTTCTCACCCATAGTCTCCTTTATTGACATATTCAATTAATTCTGGATGAACCAGGCATTCATGCTGGGAACATTTCCATTGCTGTCCTGAGCATGTGCTGTAAAGATAGAAAAATTAATAAATTTGACTGGCCTTTATGCAATACATTTCAAAATTAGTAATAACAGTAACACGTTGTTAAGACATAAAGTATAATTTTTAGATGAATGTCAACTATATGGCTGTTTGGTTCTTATCAGAATAAACCTTAATACATGCATTAGGTACCACCCAATATGCTCTTATCTTCTATTTCAAGCAATTTATAAATGAAATGACCATGCATTCCTTGAATTTTGAAAACATAATTTAGAGGATAAATTACTACATTTGTATTTGGAACATTTCTGAAAGTTTATTCTTTTTTGAAAAATCATTTTATTAGGGGTTCAGACAACTCTTATCACAATCCATCCATACACCAGTTGTGTAAAGCACATTTGTACATTCATTGCCCTCATCATTCTCAAAACATTTCCTCTCCACTTAAGCCCCAGGCATCAG